AGCTGAAGACCATAGAGAAGACCATCAGCAAACACGTGGAGGCGGTGGACAAGCGGCTGGAGCAGAGCCAGCCCGAGTACAAGGCTCTTTTTAAGGAGATCTTCTCCCGCATCCAGAAAACAAAAGCAGACATCAACGCCACAAAGGTGAAAAACAAGAGCAGCAAATGAGTCCTGCCTCTCTGCAAACTCCCACGTGCAATCGCAACAGCCAACTCCTCTCTCCAGCCCCAGGAAACGCCACGTGGCCCCACTGCTTTGAAGGTTCGAGAGGTCTACAAGGAAGAAAATGTCACGGAGGCTCAACTCACTTTTTTAAGCTTGGGCTCTGGACAACTCGGTGGGACAACTGTACATTGTAGTTAGAGGATTTCAGAAACTGTATGACGGATCTCTGCATGAGTTGCTGCTGCTGCTGCCAGACATCACAACAGCAACGTAAACCACACCACGAAAAAAGAAAACCGATCACCTCCTCCACCCTTTTCAGCTTGTCTTACAGCCTGATTATCTGCAAGCAGAAGCCTGGATGTCCTCCAGCATCCTGCCACAGCTGGAGCGCGGTGTTTCAAAGTAAAACAAAAAGCCATCAGAACTTCAGGGGCAGCTCCAGCACACCAGCCCAACCCTCCACTTTGGTTTTACGGCTAAGAACCTACGCTTGTACCCAAGAGACTTCCGTCTATGCCTTCCCCTTCCCCAAAGGGCAGTATGTTCTTGCTATTTAAGCCATTCTCTATCAGTCAGGTTTTTCAGCTATTTACAATGCAAGCTCATTGCAACTGGAAAAACTTGAAGAGAAACATAAAACTGATTGTTCTGTCTTCATCAGCCTCGCTTAGTATTTCAGTCCATACTCTCCAGATTTTGTAGGCATATGGGATTTCCTCGCTTTAAATCTGCCCCAGTATTTCAGCCCAGGTGAAGCACTGTGCCTGGTAGGAACTTGACGACCAGGGCCTTCCCATAAGCTAGACAAGAAGTGCTATTACAGTATCAGAGACACGCTTTCACCTCATGGTCTGGGTACCAGCCCTCTGTGCTGTGCTCTTCAGGAGGTTGTCATTGCCCCATTGTAGCAAACTCCTCAAATACAGCTTGCATGGGCTTGCAGAACTGACTACCAGTGACTTGCATGCAAGCAGAAGGATAAAGCATCACACTCGTACGGCGTCAGGAGCTCAGGCCCTGGCAGTAGCGCTGATCACACATTGCCCCACACTTTTGCTCTGAACATCTCCCCAGTCGAGAGGACAGATTTCAGTTTTCTGCTGAAAATAATCTTTCTTGGCTGAGATACTGTCTCCAAAGGTTGTCACCTCTCATGTTCCAGTTCACTTTCCAGCACTGAAATCTCCTCCCTTTTGCTTCCACAGACACGCAAACACAAAGCCAAAAGGCCACTGCAGTCTCAGGAACCACCAGTTTCCATTTTTCATGAACTAGATGTTGACCTTGTATGGTCCGACACGCGTTTTAGGCAGAGAAGCAGCATTTCATTACAGCTTAGGCAACACCCTGAGCATTGAGCCACAAAAACCGAGCAGTTTAAGTGTAAGCTACCTATTCTGTACCTGCCTGGAGAAACTTCAGGCCAGATTTGGATTCTGTTTTCACCAGTTTACATCCCAAAATCTTGGGGAAATGGTTGGCGTTTTTGCAACACTGAGATAAATAAATGAGAATGTGGCTTTGGAAGGGGAAGACTGTTAAAATGTAATTATCCTCCAAGTCTAGGGCCTTGACGTTACGAGGAGCTACCTTTCTTTCACTCACCATGGAATTAATGCAAAAATAGCCCCCAAAATACCCTCTTTTGTTAAGCTGAGTACCACGGAGGTAAGTTGGCAGGAGTGCGATGCCCAAACCACACCCGCTCCAGAGGTCTCCCC